ACACACACACACACACACACACACACACACACACACACACACACACACACACACACACACACACACACACACACACACACACACACACACACACACACACACACACACACACACACACACACACACACACACACACACACACACACACACACACACACACACACACACACACACACACACACACACACACACACACACACACACACACACACACACACACACACACACACACACACACACACACACACACACACACACACACACACACACACACACACACACACACACACACACACACACACACACACACACACACACACACACACACACACACACACACACACACACACACACACACACACACACACACACACACACACACACACACACACACACACACACCACACACACACACACACACACAATCACAGACACACTGACCTGAGCCTATGATCTACGACGCTGTAGGGGTCACCCACAGGCCCCATCTTGCACGTGCCCGCTGGATGGTACGTCTGCCCGGTGAAAGCACGGGCAAAGCACTCCCAGTAAGCGTCTGTCGCGAAGGTCTCGTGCTCGCAACCGGGGAGAGGCTGAGGGGAGGGGGGGAAGAAGATGAGGGGGGGAAGTGGGGAATGAGGAGAGTGGGAGGAAGATGAGGGGGTGGGGGTTGGGAAGGGAGGGGGAGGAAGGAAAGGGGGGGGAAGAGGAGAATAAGGAGAGGGAGAGGGAGATGAGGGGGGATGAAGGGAGGGGGAGGAGGGGAAGGGGAGGAAGATGAGATGAATACAAGGTGGATGAGAAGTGCAGATAAAAGGGAGATAGAATAGAGAAGATAGAGAGATGTAGTGGGAAATGGATAGGGGAGATAAAGAGAGAGGGGGAAAACAAGGGGGAGAGGGCAGGGTATAGGGAAAGATTTTCAAAATAAGACGAAAAAAAAAATAAGAATGAAAAAGTGTGAAAAAATATAACATGAAAAAAACGTGACGATCAGAAGCCATAAAATCAAGAACAAGAATTATATGAAAAACAATAACAATGACAAAAAGTAGTTGTAAGCACCAATGGTATTGATAAAATAATGATAATAACAATAATAATAATGACAACAAAATGGATAAAAACAATAATAATATCACTACTGACCAGAACTAAGCCATTAATAGATTTTAGGAGTCTTAGCAATAATAAAAAAAACATTAAAATTATAATAACAATTACATATACATGCATATATATATCTATAAGGTCGAGATTTCCCTTACCTTATCGTGGAATCGCGTCCCGTACTCCTGCATGGCCGGTGTTCTCGCTACCTCGTGAGAAAACTTGATGCCTAGATTCCGGAAAATAAACCAGGAGTGAGTTTATTTTAGGAATGATTCCGACGTATATCGATGTATTATTTTTCGTAACAAATTTACTAGATAAAAAAAAGACTAAAAGAGAACGACTTGATGTGTATTTTTCGCTGAAAATAAACTGGTTCAACTTCATTTTTCTTAATATTAACATTTTCTTAATAATTTCTTTAAACGACCGAACACAAAGTAACTAAAAAAAAAACATATATTTAGAAACATATTCGTGATGATATTCGTGACGTCATGAGGATGACTCAGGTAATTAGGGCCAATGACTCGATAATTCTAACTTCATCATTTTTCTTACTAAACCTATTAAATAACCAAAAACCACAACAACAACAAGAAAACGACAATATATGTATCGCTCCCTCCCTAAAAACACCAATTTTTATCCCTTAACAACTCAACCCAAAACCATCAAACGAGACTATAAACAAAACAACCCGAAACAACTCCCATCTCCTCCTGACCTCTGATGATATTCTTGACGTCTTCAGGGTGACTCAGGTAGTTAGGGTCAATGACAGGCGGATCCTTTGGGTTGTTGGACTGCAGGGTGACGGAGCCTCGTGACTTGGCCCTCGTCAGCATGGGGGAGATGCTGAAACCTTCTTGGCCCATGATGGGGGTGAAGTATTGGTAGTAGAGCTGTTTGTAGGGGGGGGGGAGGGGGAGAAAGTGGTGTGTTCTTAGTGCCTTATTCTTTAAGTGATTCCGTTAAAGCAAAACGTTAAGAATAAATAAAGTTTAATAAGTAAGAAAAGAATTGAAGTTTATGATGATTATAACAAGGACATTGTAACATCAACTGTGATCACTATAATAATATGCTAAATGCAAAAAATACACTATACGCAAAATAGGCTTATTGTGAATAACAGCTTTGTTGCTTTTATAAGGTATAGTGTTTTGTCATTCATTCAGTGACTACGATTACTTTTATTTCTATTGCAATTATTATATATTGTTACAATTATTTGTAATCACTGTCATGAGCAAGATTGTCGCCATAAACATTCTTTATATAATCACTATTGTAATAAAGATAATATTACTGCGATTATCTTGTTCTCCCCTCCTCTCTCTGTACATCTTTCTCCTCCTTTTTCTCTCTCTCATTCTCTCTCTCTCTCTCTCTCTCTCTCTCTCTCTCTCTCTCTCTCTCTCTCTCTCTCTCTCTCTCTCTCACCTACTCATCTTCCTCTCTCCCTCACCCTTACCTTCTTTCCCTCCCCCTCCCCCTCTCCCCTTATCTCCCCCTCCTTCCCTCCTTCTCCCTCTTCCTTTTCCATCCTTTCTCCCTCCCTCTCCTTCTCCCTTCCCTCCTCCCCTTCAACTTACCTAACCCTCACTTTCCTTCCTTTCCTCCCTCTCTCCCCCTCTCCCTCACTCCCTCACTCCCATCCTCTTTCTTCATCCCCATTCCCCCCTCCCCCACTCCCTCCCTCCTCCTTCCTCCCTCCCTCCCTCCCTCCCCCTCTCCTTCCCTCCCTCCCTCTTCCTTCATTCCCCCCTCCCTCGCCCACCTCCTCCTCACCTTCCTATCATAGCCAATGAGGTCCGGAATGGCGATGCCCTTGTCGAGCGTCGAAGTCCCGGCGATGAAGAGGAACTGCACCTCGGGCCAGAGAGGGTCGCCTTCCTCCGCCGGAATCCAAGCGTGAGCCTCGATAGCGTAGGGCGCCGAGAGAGGGCCTGCGGGAGAAAGGGGGTGGTCAGCGTTGGGTTAGGTAACAAGGGGGTGAGGGAATGTATGTCCTCATGGCATATGTTTTGTGCTTATCACGGCGACAGTGAGGTGCCTACGTTCTTGATAGGTTCCCTAAATGGAGTGCCGATTTTAATATATATACTGTATATATATATGTGTGTGTGTGTGTGTGTGTGTGTGTGTGTGTGTGTGTGTGTGTGTGTGTGTGTGTGTGTATGCACACTCACATACTTATATAAATACACACACACAGACCTCCTAAGCCAAACTGAAGAACATCATTAGCTATTCAGCAACCTCAACGCACAATCATAGCAATATTGCAATATTCTGTTAGGCAGACCGGAAATCCCCTCGCAATGAACGGCCATCACTTCCCCCAGCGCCTAGCCTCCAGTGGCCCTCACCTCGTCTTCCAAGAATGTACTCCTTCAGCGAGAACGGGTTGGCTAGCGTCAGGAGGCTGAGCGACGTGCCCTTGTTGGTGGTCCACGTGAGGCCGTAGAGAGAGGCGTGGTCTTGGAAGTTCTGTCCGACGCCGGGCAGGTCAGCCACGACGGGGATCTGCGGGGGGGGGGGGGAGGTTTGGGCAGCGTATGTAGGATTAATTGTGGATGTTGTGTGTATGTATTCATTTTTTTGTATATATACAGGCGTGCGTATATGCATTCTTACATATATGCATGCAAAGTACGTATTACATACATACATACATTCATACATGCCTACCTACATACATCTACACATACGTACCTACATAACTATACTACATAGACATTCTATTTTTTTAAAAAATCTTCAGGATTCACACTTAAAAACCTACTAACTAATCAGACTTCTCAACGTATCGCATTTCTATAACTATCCCACTAAAAATAAAACATAAAACCACCAAAACAAAAACAAAAAACAAGATAAAAACAAAAACAAAACAAGGTCAAACAAAAATCTAGGTCAAACAAAACAAAAGCAAGATCTAACAAAACAAAAACAAGGTCAAACAAGTGCCACTTACATTGTGCTCCTGCAAGTGCCTGGCCGGACCGATCCCCGACACCATAAGGATTTGCGGAGACGATATTGTTCCTCCGGACACGATGACCTCCCGTTTTGCCAAAGCCGTCTTTTGCTGCAATGACCACAAAACGAAAGCATTATAGAGTTCTTGTGGGCAAGGAAACGAAAGCATTATAGAGTTCTTTTGCTGAAATGACCACAAAACGAAAGCATTATAGAGTTCTTGTGCTGCAATGACCACAAAACGAAAGCATTATAGAGTTCTTGTACTGCAATAACCCCAAAAGGAAAGCATTATAGAGTTCTTGTACTGCAATAACTCCAAAAGGAAAGCATTATAGAGTTCTTGTACTGCAATAACTCCAAAAGGAAAGCATTATAGGGTTCTTGTACTGCAATAACCCCAAAAGGAAAGCATTATAGAGTTCTTGTACTGCAATAACCCCAAAAGGAAAGCATTATAGGGTTCTTGTACTGCAATAACCCCAAAAGGAAAGCATTATAGAGTTCTTGTACTGCAATAACCCCAAAAGGAAAGCATTATAGAGTTCTTGTACTGCAATAACCCCAAAAGGAAAGCATTATAGAGTTCTTGTACTGCAATAACCCCAAAAGGAAAGCATTATAGAGTTCTTGTACTGCAATAACTCCAAAAGGAAAGCATTATAGAGTTCTTGTACTGCAATAACCCCAAAAGGAAAGATAATGCATTACCCAAAGAAGCATTATAGAGTTCTTGTACTGCAATAACCCCAAAAGGAAAGCATTATAGAGTTCTTGTACTGCAATAACTCCAAAAGGAAAGCATTATAGAGTTCTTGTACTGCAATAACCCCAAAAGGAAAGCATTATAGAGTTCTTGTACTGCAATAACCCCAAAAGGAAAGCATTAAAGAGTTCTTGTACTGCAATAACCCCAAAACGAAAGCATTAAAGAGTTCTTGTACTGCAATAACCCCAAACGAAAGCATTATAAGAGTTCTTGTACTGCAATAACCCCAAAAGGAAAGCATTATAGAGTTCTTGTACTGCAATAACCCCAAAAGGAAAGCATTATAGAGTTCCTGTACTGCAATAACCCCAAAACGAAAGCATTAAAGAGTTCTTGTACTGCAATAACCCCAAAACGAAAGCATTATAGAGTTCTTGTACTGCAATAACCCCAAAAGGAAAGCATTATAGAGTTCCTGTACTGCAATAACCCCCAAAACGAAAGCATTAAAGAGTTCTTGTACTGCAATAACCCCAAAACGAAAGCATTATAGAGTTCTTGTACTGCAATAACCCCAAAAGGAAAGCATTATAGAGTTCCTGTACTGCAATAACCCCAAAACGAAAGCATTAAAGAGTTCTTGTACTGCAATAACCCCAAAAGGAAAGCATTATAGAGTTCTTGTACTGCAATAACCCCAAAACGAAAGCATTAAAGAGTTCTTGTACTGCAATAACCCCAAAACGAAAGCATTAAAGAGTTCTTGTACTGCAATAACCCCAAAAGGAAAGCATTATAGAGTTCCTGTACTGCAATAACCCCAAAACGAAAGCATTAAAGAGTTCTTGTACTGCAATAACCCCAAAACGAAAGCATTATAGAGTTCTTGTACTGCAATAACCCCAAAACCAAAGCCTTAGAGAGTATACAGGTTTATTATTTTTGTTCACAGCGATCATTTGTTTTTGGTTTTATTGTTTAACGTGTGTATGTTATGTCCAATGGGAAATTAAGATGTGTTATATCAGTAAGAACGCGTGTACAAGATAGGAGGGAGAGGGAGAGGGAGAGAGGGAGGGAGAGAGGGAGAGAAAGAGGGAGAGAAAGAGGGAAAGAGGGAGAGAGGGAGAGAAAGAGGGAGAGAGGGAGAGAGGGAGGGAGGGAGAGAGAGAGAGAGAGGGAGAGAGAGAGGGAGAGAGAGAGGGAGAGAGAGAGAGGGAGAGAGAGAGAGGGAGAGAGAGAGGGAGGGAGGGAGAGAGAGAGAGAGAGAGAGAGAGAGAGAGAGAGAGAGAGAGAGAGAGAGAGAGAGAGAGAGAGAGAGAGAGAGAGAGAGAGAGAGAGAGGGAGAGAGGGAGAGAAAGAGGGAGAGAGGGAGAGAGAGAGGGAGAGAGGGAGAGAGACAAAGAGGGAGAGAGAGAGAGAGAGAGAGAGAGAGAGAGAGAGAGAGAGAGAGAGAGAGAGAGAGAGAGAGAGAGAGAGAGAGAGAGAGAGAGAGAGATAGATAGAGGGAGAGAGAGCAAAATAGATAGATAGATAAATAGACAGAGATAGAGAGAATCTTACCCTTCCTTCATGCTCAAAGCGCACTCCAATCGCCCGCTTATGGCTGTCAAATAGTAACTGTAGAAACAAACAAAATAAATTAGTTAACCATCTCAGCCACTGTTCTAGACCGAAAGAAAATTCGGAATTTCCTCTTTGAATATATGGCGTTTCCTTACAGACATAACGAACATTTCGAGTATATCACATTGCAGTTGAAAAATACATTAAAAAAATACATAAAATGACATTAATAGCATATTCTTCTCTGAAAAAATATACCAAACAGATAAATTCCAAGTATATCACATTGCAGTCTACAAATACATTTTAATAAATGCATAAAATAACAATGATAGCATATTCTTCTCTAAAAATATATATATATACCAATCAGATAACATATATATAACCATCCAAACAAATAAACAAAGAAAAAAATAAATCAAAACTATATAAAAAAAATCCTGCCTGGGTAACGTGGGCATTTAAAACCACATGAAGATTTTCTCTGTCAGCTGCGGGCTTGAGGAAGGCTTCGGCAGTAGACCATCGCCAGCCGTCCCTTATGGTCATGTCAGGGACGCTGAAGCCTAAGGGAAGGGAAGGAAATGTCACTAAGGCAATAGTAGTGGTAATAGTAATAGTAATAGTAATAGTAATAGTAATAGTAATAGTAATAAAATATGTCACTATGGTAATAGTAATAATATCAGTAAATAGTAATAGTAACAGTAAAGATGTCACTAGGATAATAGTAATAGTTGTAGTAATAGTGATAATAGTAAAAAATGGCACAAAAGTAAACTGGAAATTATAGTAATAGTGGCGTGGCTATCCTTTCGTGGGAAGTTCCTGCTGGGTGCGGTGTCAGGATGTCTTTTGGTCTTTATTGCTTTTACAATTTTATTGATGAATTATTATTACTGTTATTATCACTATTATTATTATTATTATTTTTATTATTATTATTATTATTATTATTATTATTATTATTATTATCACTATTATTATCATCAATACTACTACTACTATTGCCATTACCATTATCATACTATACTACTACTACAACTATTATTATTATTATTATTATCATTATCATTATTATTATTATCATTATTTTCTCATCAACGTCGGTATCTGCAACAACATCGGTTTATAAACAAAAGTTTTCACATGATTCATTCGCTGGAAATCTGTCATCTTTCCATCTCATTCATCGCCAGAGCAGCATAGAAAACGAACCAAATCTGAGGCCAATGCTTTCTGGGAGCGAAAACGGGAATTCTCACTCGTTTCATAAGGGAAACCATGAATCTTTTTTTTCTCGTAACAAATAGAAATCATTACTCGTTGCACGGGCGAAGACAGGCATTATTCCTCGTTGCATAAACACAGGCAGATAATCGTGCTCGTTGCATCATCTCTCCCGCATCCTCATCTCGCATTCTAGTCCGCGGCCGTCCACTCTAACAGGTTCCAGCTGAGCGAAGTTCAAGGCGAAGGACTTTAACGTGCAAGGTGATATGCTTTGAGAAAGGAGAGTTATTGCGAGGAAGAGGAGGGAGGAGGAGGAGGCGGGGGAGGAGGAGGGGGAGGGGGGGAAGGGGAGAGGGAGGATGAAAATGAGGAGGGGGGTGAGAAGGGGGAGGATTAGGAGGAGGAGGAGGAGGAGGTGGAGGAGGAGGAGGAGGAGGAGGAGGAGGAGGATTAGGATTAGGAGGAGGTGGAGGAGGAGGAGGTGGAGGAGGAGGAGTAGGATTAGGATTAGGATGAGGATGAGGATTAGGATGAGGATTAGGAGGATTAGGTTAGGATTAGGTGGAGGAGGAGGAGGTGGAGAATGAGGAGGAGGAGAAGGAGGAGGAGGAGTGGGAGAAGGAGAGGGATGAGGATGAGGAAGTGGGAGAAGGGGGGGGGGCCGTCCGGGGTAGTGTGGGCACGGCGGACGGAGGTATTCATTCACATTTTTTAGACTAGTTTTCGAGTGCGGGTTTTTGAGTGCGAGGCAACCCCCCCCCCCCTCTGCCACTTCCCTTGACCTTATTTCGAGGACGTGAAGGCGGGTGATGTGATGGCATTTATTAGCGGAAGAATCGTAACGAAGTCTAGGACATCGAGGGTGAGAAGGAGGCCAGTCCTGTTAATTACGCCTCGTGCCTTTTATATGTATTTCGTTCAGTCTGTTTCCGCCATTATGAGATGCCTCGTTTCCTCATCATTTCTGAGAGCTTACCGGGCTGCCGTGCGTCATTATGTAGCAACCAGAGTGAAAATGGATGTGGCGAGAAATTTGCGGGAAAATTAACCATGTGAATCGCTGTCATACCGGTGGACGAGTATGTGTATCAATGCGTGATTTAACATAAACACTATATATACGGATATTGATATCTATCTATCTATCTATCAGGCTATATATATATACATATACATATACACACATATATATATACACACACATACACACACACACACACACACACACACACACACACACATATATATATATATATACATATATATATATATATATATATATATATATATATATATATATATATATACATACACACACACACACACATATATATGTATATATATATATATATAATATATATATATATATATATATATATATATATATATATATATATATATATATATATATATATATATATATAATGTGTGTGTGTACACAGACAGTCACACACACATGTATGTATGCATGAGTGTTGCAATAAAAACTAAACAAATACGAATATCAATATGGATTTCAACATCATCTAAACTTGAGCCTCCATTACATGTTGCCAAATATATCGGCACCGAACATCTTGTCTCTCGTTTTTCATTATCGGCGTCAGACAAGCGAAATCGTGTGCCTGAAATGCCTCACGAAAGTTGCTGAATTATGTATCTTGGTGTACACGAGGACCCGAAAGAGAAATATTATTTTTTGAGGTAACCGCGAGACAGAGACTATTCCGCCATTTTGCATCTTGTATTTTCTTTTTTTTGAGTTTTTGAAAATTCTGTGGTTTGTGGGTATGTTGTAACGGTCTTCGCATTTTTGTTTTTTTTATTGTATAGCATTTAGTATGTCAGGTAACGTGCAGCCTTGATAATGAGCGAATTAATAGGAAAAAAAAAACATTTTGGACGTGATGTTACCGAATACAATACTTCCTCTTTTAATTTCCTTGTTAATGAAAGTGATCATAAAACTTGAGAAACTACGGTTGCGGTCTAGTTAACAGCTATTAGCTACTCTTTAATTCTTTCTTGAAGAGGTAACCCATTACCCTTACCTATTATGTAAAAAAAAATCATAAAAACAAAAACAATACATCAAACACCGAAACAGACCCTTTTTTTTAATTAGTCTGCTTATTAATCAATTCTCTTATCACAAAAGCTGATAAGACCTCAACCTCTCACTCGGAACGCAGAACAACGCAAACACAACAAACCTAAAAAAACAGATGTAAACAAAACACACATTCATCTTACCTATCATTTCTGGCCCGTTGGCGTCGATGACATTGTAGCCCAACTGCTGCCCCGCCTTCAGGAATCCGTTGAGGAGGGGCGTGTACCACAGTTTGTCGTCTACGGTCAGAGGACCACCGAAGCCGTGGTAAGCAGCTGGGGAGGAAGGAAGGGGTTTGTAACATGTGAGGTATTGCGTTCAGAATGAGAGGATAACGGGAGAGAGAGAGAGAGAGAGAGAGAGAGAGAGAGAGAGAGAGAGAGAGAGAGAGAGAGAGAGAGAGAGAGAGAGAAAGAGATAGAGAGATAGAGAGATAGAGAGATAGATAGATAGATAGATAGATAGAGAGAGAGAGAGAGAGAGAGAGAGAGAGAGAGAGAGAGAGAGTGTGTTTAAATGAATCACCATTCTCAATTGAGCCTTTTTTTATGTCTGAAATATAACGTAACATTTATTTATTTCGTAATCAACCCACGCACACATACTTGCACACATCCATCCATCCAAAAATCCATACTTTCATTCACCACCCATCCAGGCATACAAATACACACACAGCCAGCGTTTTGCGACTGAGCTTAATCTCCCTCTAATGCAACTGCCGCGATGGGGATTCGATCCCAGAACCGGAGCCCAATCTCTCTCTCTCTCTCTCTCTCTCTCTCTCTTTCTCTCTCTCTCTCTCTCTCTCTCTCTCTCTCTCTCTCTCTCTCTATATATATATATATATATATATATATATATATATATATATATATATATTTATATTTATATTTATATATATATATATATATATATTTATATATACAGGGGATATATATACATATAGGGTATATATGCACACACACACACACACACACACACACATAAAGGGTATATATATGTATATATATACACGTGTAGGGTATATATGTTTTATATAATTGTTTATGTAAGATATGATATGACAGAGGTATTCGTTGTACATGGAAATACTGCTGTCTCAATTCCCTTAAGACAGTTACGTTGAGACGCTGTAGTATATAACTGGACTGCAATGAAAGTAAAACTATACGTTTAGCTCGACTGGATCTTATTAAAAGAGAGAGTGAGAAAGAAAAAGAAACTGATACGAAATACGTCATCTCTTTCATAAAATCACAGCAAAATAACACAAAATGGCGTCATATTGAAATTTATGAATGAAACGAGTAAAACAAAACACAATCAGCTCATCTTCGGCGCACGTGATTAATCAGTTTAAAGCCGCCAGAAAGACACGTACCAGATCATTTTCAGATTAGAAATATTATCACATGTTATATAAAAGAAAAAAAAGAGAGGTATGACCAACATGACTGGCCACCTGACAACATGACAAAGGGGTGGGGGGTGTCGGGGGAGGGTAGGTGTGGTTATGACCAAAACTAACAAACTTTTAAAAAATCCAATTTCTTAGCGAAGTCGTTGTATTTTCTTGAAATCATGTTTAAAGAATTCGAATTTATTATTTTTTACTGAGGGAAGTAACTCATGGGTTATAATGACAATTTATATATATTTTTTCCTCCATTATATTGTGGTAAGGGTATATTATAATATTATTTTGGAAGCCAGACCCAATGCTTTGCATAGTAACGGGAAGATATGTAACGATACTAATCTATATAAAATTTCTCGTATATAATAAGAACACACTAAATCTAATCTATTTTTACCAAAGAATGTATGAAAAAAATCTACCAGAAATGAATTTAAATCATTTTCATTTTCTCTTAAGAATCTTCCCAATTTTTCGTCATAGCACTCCCGTTAGCTTCATGCATGACGAAACCCGCGGAATGTATATTTCTTTGCAATGACGCAGGGGGTGGTGGTGGTGGGGGGGGAGGCATCGAGGTAATATCAACATCAATACGCCTGTGTGTCACTATAGCTACGCACCTGAACTGAATGACTGTCGAGAATTTTTGCTTGCAGTGTTTGGGATGTAGAAAAAATTGCCATTAGCATTTGTAGCCATACTAAGTAATAGTAAAGCCATAGTAAAATGGAAAGCATTGTGCATCTGTTTTCGATATTTTCAAGGTTTCGAAAACACTGATTTCGGAAGCTTGTTCAAAGAAGTCTGATGGATAAAATGGCCACGCGCAAGTCATTCTGTCCGTGTGACCTCGTGCATGGCAATGACCTGAGAGACTTAAGGAACACGTCTCTGCTCATTCATGGCAACGTCCCCTCTCCCTCGACGACGTGCATGACGGCGAAGGCGTATCTGGCACCGCTACTGCCTCATTAATGACAGAGAATTCAACGAGAGGCGTGAGGAATGCCTGGAAAGAGTCGGTCCGGAAGAGAAATGCGTTCGCGGGGAGGGTGACTGCGTTTTGAATTACTGTTTCGAGTTGCGAACATCTATAGATTAGGACCTATATCAAGACATGACTAGCTTTGTCTTCTATGTCTAGACAGAAATTCGTACTTTAAAAACACAATAAACAGAATCCAAGAACATAAATGCCACTAAACCTTAAGATGACGCAGTGGACACATTTCTTACCTCGATGACTTCGAGATATTTTCCTAAGGCTCCAAAACGTCTTCCATACAAACACATTTTCCTCCTCTTTCTCACAATACCATCTTCGCCTACATATAATCCACACCATCACCTAA